GAGGAAGGAGTCGGGCCGCCCGGTCGTACAAAGGAGGGCGGCGGCGGTGTGCAGAGTTGGCTCGCCCAGCCTCGTCTCGCTCCCTCCGGCCCCCGCCCGCCCGCCACGCCGCGCTCAGGCATGCAACGGCGGCAGGGGCTTGAACGACTTGACAAAGGCCGAGTCGACGCACATGACGGCGCCGTTGCGGGCGTAGGTGGGCATCTGGGGCAGCCTGCAGAGCGACTCCCTCTTGCCCGCCTGGGCGCCCTGGTACGTGGCGGCGAGGCGCTCGGGTGGCTTGCCGCCCTCGACCCAGTCGACGAGGGCCTGGAGCGGATCGTCGGGTTTGGGACCGATGCCGCCGCCGCAGTGTCCGACGCCCGGCGCTACAAAGACGCGCAGCGAGTCGTCGACGTCGAGTCCGGCCGCCGCGGCCACGCTCGCCGCGACGCGGGCGCGGTAGTCCACCGTGCCCAGGTACGGCACGGCATAGTCGGCCAGGCCGTGCCAGCTGAGGATCTTGGTGCCGTGCCGAAACGCCGGTGCCAGGTTCGGCTCGGCGGAACCGATGACGTCGGCGTAGAGCTGCTGCGACTTGAGCACCATGTCGAAAAAGGCGGCGTCGTCGAGCGTCGTCGCGTCAAACGACGGCGTGCGCTCCACGGCGCGCGCGACCCACGCCTGCGACAGCGGCGACGGGTACGTGACGCCGTTGAGGTCGGCATCGTAGCCGTGCGCGTGCCACAAGGGCTGGCCGCGGTACGACCCGCCGTGCCAGGCCACGTCGGCGATCCGCGCCGCCTCTTTGGAAAAGACAAAGTCGCCCGGCGTGCCGCTGCCGATGCCCGGCGCGTCGCACCGGAACGGCTTGCCGACGACGCTGGCCGGGTCGAAGCGACACTGGTGCGGGGCGGCAATGATGCCGTCGGCCAGGCCGTCGAGGGCGTCGCACGCCTTGACCGCCTCGGCGCGCATCTGGGTCAGCTCGCACGCGGGGCCCTTGTAGCCGAGTCGGCTCTTGACGACGTAGCCGTACAGGCCCGCCGGCGTGAAGCGGTGCCACGACAGCGCGGGCGAGCCGGCGAGGATGCCGTCGTAGTCGGTCGGGTAGCGCTGCGCCTCGACCAGGCCCTGCCGGCCGCCGTTGGAGCAGCCGGACCAGTACGACTTGAACGCCCTCGCGCCGCCGTAGTACGACGAGACGAGCGCCTTGGCAATCACGCTCATCTCGTGCGTCGACAGGCTGGCAAAGTCGAGGAGCGCGTTGGCGTCCACCTCGTCCGTGCCCGGCCGGAGCAGCCAGTCGCCCGTGCCCGCCGTACCGACGCCCGCGTCCGTCGTCGCCGCGGCGTAGCCGCGCGAGACGGCATCCTCGAGATCCGAAGTCTGCGCCGCGTCGACGTAGCCGCCTCCCCCAAGGCCCAGGAAGCGGCCGTTCCACTTGGCTGCATCGGGAAGCAGGACGGTGACGACGACGTGGTCCCCCGTCGCTCCGTGCGTGAGGGCGATGTCGACGTGGCAGCGTCCCGTCTGCGGAGCGGCCTTGACGTTGAGGTACTTGACGTTGGGCAGGGGCGGAGGTTGGAGAGAGGCGCAAGGCGGGGTGGCGGCAGTGGCCGGCTTGCCGTCGCCGTTGCTGGCGTAGGCCGGGCCGACAAGCAGGGCCGCCGCAATCAGCGACGAGAAGCCCAGACGCATGTTTGAGGTGGGGAGGAGGGGGTTGATAGATGATCGAGGTAAAATCGGACCAGGCTCGGTGGCAGAGGCAGAGGCAGTGAAGAGTCGAGCGAGCGAGGCGGGCAAGGAAGAGCCGCCTGTGGGCCCCCCTTTTAATCCCTCTGCCCACTGCCCGCTCGAGATCCTCGACGCTCAGAGGCGGCGCTCGCCAGATGTCTGAAGATCGCCGGCCCTCAAGGCGAGACGGCGAGGGGCCCGGGCCTTTTCGTAGCACAGCGACTCCCGTCGGGAGCCCAACGTGGGCGCGCGACGGAAGTGGGCGCGATGGGTGGGCCGCGTTGCGCCTCGAAAGCTGACGGGCCAAGCGTCGCAGGGTGGGTGGGGTTCGAGCTCGACCTTGCAGTGGTCAGGAGGCAAGTTTGTCGGTAGTCGGCGAGAAAGCGAGGACCGCAAATTGCCAACCCACCTTGCTTGGGCCGGCCAGTCGAGACGCGGTCCCTGGCAATGCCGACGTGGGGCCTCTATCTGCTGGCTGTTAACCAGCACGCACGGCGGCTGAGCGCGAGATTGCCGCTGCCAGATCGCGGCCCCACCGCCCAGCGTCGCAACTACGACTCGGGGCCCGCAGCTGTCCGGCCCTCGAAGCGAGCCCAGCTTTGGGCGCTGTTCAGGTCCCTTTCGAGAATCATGGATGCATCTCCGCACCCTGGCAAGACAACTCTACCTGCGAGCGGTGTGGGGCATGCTGCACCGCCGGCGGCCTCACTCGTGCACTATGGTCGCATTTCGATTCGATTCGATTCAATTCGGCAAGCTCGCCCGATGATACATCTTCGGACTTGGATTGATGCTACATGGTGGGCGCCTCGCTCCTACGACGCCGACGCCGACGCCCCCCGATTCCATCCAATTTCCTTTTTCCCCCCGAGGTGCCACCGACCTTCGTCGCCGACGACACCCTCTTTGTTCTTTCCCAGTGCCCCTCCCTCTCGGCCGGGGACGCCTGCAACGCAGCCAGCGGCGCCGCTCTCGCCGCGCGACCCTACTTGTACACGCTGGTAAAGTTGGCAATGGGCGGGCGCGGCAGGAGGCCGCCGTGGCTCTCGACGCCCTCGATGCGGTGGAAGGCGTTGAGGTTCTTGTGCAGCACAAACTGGAAGACGCTGCTGTCGCCCTCGCGCGCCACAATGACGCTCGACCACAAAAAGTGGCGCCAGCGGCGGAACATTTCCTCGCCGTACTTGGCCACCACCTGGGCGCGGTTCGACTCCCAGTTCTCGGCCCAGCGCAGGATCGTGGCGCTGTAGTGGACGCCCGCCACGTCGACCGAGCGGATCTCGAAGCCGGCCTTTTCCAGCTGCGTCACGACCCAGCCCAGCGGCAGCGACGCGTCGGCGCCCGGGAAGACGTCGCGGTTCATAAAGATGCCCCAGTGGAGGCCGCCGTGCTGCCACGCCGGTCGCAGGCCGGCCACCTGGAAGACAAAGACGCCGTCGTCGTCGAGGAGCGTGTAGACGTCGCGGAGGAACTTGCCATAGTGGCGGATGCCGACGTGCTCGGCCATCTCGAGCGAGATAATCTTGTTGTAGTGGCCCGGCTGGACGGGGATGTCGCGGTAGTCGAGGTTGAGGATGCGCGCCTGCGAAGGGTCGATGCCGTTCTTGCGCAGGCGGTCGTTGCCGAAGCGCGTCTGGGTCTTTGCCAGCGTCACGCCCGTCACGTCGCAGCCGTAGTTTTTGGCGGCGAACGCGGCAAAGGTGCCCCAGCCGCAGCCAATGTCGAGGACGCGGTCCGAGGGCTTGAGGGCCAGCTTGGAGCACACGAGGTTGAGCTTGTTGTCCTGCAGCTCCTCGAGCGTCTCCTTGCGGTGCGGGTCCGAGATGATGCCTGACGTGTAGATCATCTGCGGGCCGAGGAACCAGGCGTAGAAGTCGTCGCCGCGGTCGTAGTTGTCCTGGATCTGGGTCTCGTCCTGCTTGGCCGTGTGCATGATGACCTCGGGCACCATCTGGAAGAGGACGAAGCGGAACTGGTCCCAGGTGAGGACAAACGAGCACCAGTCGGCGCGGTACTCGAGCAGCTCGAGGTAGTCCATCTTGGGCTCAATCTTGCCCGCAAAGTAGGCGTCGTGGAACGTCTGGTAGGGGATCTTGTTGTTGCCGTGGTACTTTGCGCGCAGCTCCGGGTCGCGGATGTCCATGTAGTGCTCGATGGGGCGGCCGGGCAGCGCCACCTTTTCGTTGATGCGCGGGCCAAACTTGGCCACGGCGATCCAGTAGGCGATGGTGACGGGGAGGCCAAAGACGGCCATGAGGACAAAGTACGAGAACCAGCCGAACCACTTGGGGTTGACAAAGGGGACGATGCGGAGCACGACGGCGGGGGCGAAGAAGATGAGGGCGGCGAGGTGGTAGTTGTTGAAGGTGCCGTTGCCCTCGGCGGGCAGCGGAGCGTTGGCGATCGTCGGCTGTCGAGGGGGGGCGCGAGGGCGGAGAACCAAGGCGGGAAGGAAAAGGGACGGACGTCAGCGAGGTCGAACGAGTGCTGGCCGCTGCCTGGCTGGCCGGTCGAGACTCACGTAGTTGGTCAGCCTGACTTTTCCACCGGGCGCCATCTTGGCCTCGGCGGGGCCGCTCTTGGTGGCAGCGGCGGCGGAGGTCGAGGCCGAGGAGCGGGAGGGGAGCTGCATGGCAGCGGCGGCGACGGCGGGCGAGGGCTGCGCGACGGGCTCGCGGGGGACAGCGACGGCAGCAGCGCCGGCCTTGTCGAGGACGTCGACGTCGTCGTCGTGGGCAGGCGGAGCGGCGAAGGCAGCAGCGCCGGCCTTGTCAAGGACGTCGACGTTGTCGTCGTGGGCAGGCGCAGCGGTGGCGGCAGGGACGGCCGGGGTCGAGAGGGAAGCCGGGGGCGCGTCAATGTTGGCGGCAATGGCAGCGACGTCGTCGGCCGTGACAGCGGAGGCGGCGGCAGGGACGGCAGGGCCGGACGACTGCTGGGCGTGGTGAGATTCGTAGAGGTGGGGCACGTCTACGGGCTCTGCGAGGCCGTGCTGGTCGAGGCTAAGGTTCTGGGCGAGCTTCTGGAAGCCGGCGGGGACACCGCCGACGTCGTTGCCGTGGTCCTCCATGGCGGGCGACGGGAGGGGAAGAGGGGAGGGTTGAGGGAGGGTCAAGATGGAATGAGGGGTCACGTAGGAGGAAGATGGAGGAAGGGAGGCAGAAGCTAGGTTGGGAGCGAGGGCAGGGGGGCCGAGAGAGGGAGGCTGACGAGGGAGCCCAGCGCGGGGTGAGTGAGCAGCGCCTCGCCCCCTCGAGGAGAAGAAACGTTTCTTCCCGAGCGGGCAGCAGGCCGGCAGAGCAGCGCAGAACTGAAGCAGAAGCAAAGCCCTCGCAGCCGGGCGTGCGTGCGTGCGTGCCTGCGTGGGCGGCCGCGGGTGGCACGGTGTTGCGTGTTGGGCCAAGGGGGGGCGCGCGCGCCAGCAGCTGGCCTGAGGCCTGCCGCTGTGAGCAAAGTCAGGCCTGGCCTGGCCTGGCAGGATGATTTGGCGCTGGCGGTCCGTGCCACTACTTTTTTCCCGATTGGCTTGCGCTGACGAGCCTCGACGTTGGCGCCCCGATTGCCTGGTTGAGCTGGGCTCGTGTGGAGGTGGTCAGTCGATCACGGGCCAGGCGAGGCAGGCGTTGGCAGCTGAGGCCACCGAGCAGCTCCACGCCCGACGCAGCCCAGACGACCGGCCGGTCAGACGTCTGGCCTGGCCTGACCAGGCTGAGAGAGAGAGAGAGAGAGAGAGAGAGAGAGAGAGAGGCTCAGCGGCAGCCCGAGGCCGGGGCTCGAGCTTGGGCCGCCTCCGCTGCTCCTCACCACCTCGATCCTCACCCCGCCACCCTTTTCCCGCCTCGCCTGCCATCGACGCGCCACCATCACCTCGTCACCCTCCGCGCCCATCTACCACTCCTTCCTGCTCCATCCTCGCGTGCTCCTGCCCTCGCCACTAACCCCCTCTCCGCGACATCGCCCGCGTCCCTGCGCTCACACCACACCCGCTGCGCAACACGCCCAGCCTATCTCCGGCCCGCGCACCCAACCACCTGCTCGCTTCACAACACCCTTGGCGCCCACCCTCAGGCAGGCTCCTCCCAACAACGACGCAGCACACCGCGGCCCACCTCCAGCCATCCACTCATCCCAGTGCGCCCGCTCCATCCGGCATCCCGACCGCTCTCTGCAGCACCCCTGCGCCCTAATTTCCTCCCCTGCCGCCACTCGCGAGGCACCCGAGCATACACCGCAGCCACACACACACACACACACCCTCGACCGGCGCACCCCGCACCCCGCAGATACCCGCCCTCTCGCCACGATGATGGCCGCTTCGTCCAGCCGCCTCCCGGCGAGCCATGAGTGAGTAGCCGGCCGCCCAGCTCACGCGCCCGCCCGACCTATCGCTGACCTCGTCGTCGTCGTCGTCGTCGTCGTCTCCGTCGCTGCCGCCGCCTGCTCGATTGATCGCCCGTTGTCGCGCCCCTCGCCCGGTCTCGCCCCACTCGTCCCTGTGTCACGCCCCTCGCCCTTCCCCCCTTACGCAGCGTCAACGCCACGTGGGAGGTGCTGGGCCCGGGCATCGACCAGATCATGACGCGGCTGCGCGAGGGCATGAACAACGCCGACTACATGAAACTCTACACCCTCGCCTACAATCACTGTACCAGCAGCCGCATGGGCTCCGGCTCCAGCGACCTCGGCTCCCTCGGCGGCTCGGTCGGCTCCAAGTCGGGCGCCAACCTGGTCGGCGCCGAGCTCTACAACTGCCTCATCCAGTACTTTCAGTCCCACCTCGCCGACGTACGCAAGGGCGCAGAGGGCCTCGCAGAGGAGCCCCTGCTCAAGTACTATGGCGCCGAGTGGGACCGGTACACGACCGGCGCACAGTACGTCAACCGCCTCCTCGCCTACCTCAACCGCCACTGGGTCAAGCGCGAAAAGGACGAGGGCCGCAAGCACGTCTACACGGTGTACATTGTGAGTGCGGTTCGGGAGGGGGCCGAGGCTTGTGCGATCGCAACCCGACCTCGCGCTGACCCACGCATTGCCCCCCCCCCCCCCCCCACTCGATCCGCCACTCGACAGCTGGCGCTGGTGCAGTGGAAGGAGCACATGTTCAAGCACGTGCAGAACAAGGGGCGGCTGGTCAATGCGCTGCTCCGGCAGATTGAAAGACAGCGCAACGGCGAGGTCATCGAGTCGTCGCTCGTCAAGAACGTCGTCGACAGCCTCGTCTCGCTCGGCCTCGACGAGGCCGACACCAACCGCCAGAACCTCGACGTGTACAAGCACGAGTTCGAGAAGCCCTTCCTCGAGGCCACCGAGCTCTACTACCAGGCCGAGTCGGACGCGTTTGTGGCGCAAAACAGCGTCACCGACTACATGAAAAAGGCCGAGGCGCGGATCAAGGAGGAAGAGGACCGCGTCGAGCTCTACCTCCACAGCACGACGCGCGCCAAGCTCGTCAACTGCTGCGACAACACGCTCGTCCGCCGCCACGCCGGCATCCTGTGGGACGAGTTCCAGACGCTCCTCGACCTCGAAAAGGCCGACGACCTGTACCGCATCTACACGCTCATGTCGCGCATCGTCGAGGGGCTCGAGCCGCTGCGGCAGAAGTTTGAGGCGCACGTCAAGCGCGTCGGCCTCGCCGCCGTCGAAAAGGTGGCCGCGGGTGGCGGTGGCGGCGATGGGGCGGCCGATGCGGGGCCAGGGGCGACGGCGACGGCGACAGCGGCGGCGGCCATGGAGCCCAACGCCTACGTCGGCGCGCTGCTCGACGCGCACCGCACCAACCTCGACACGGTCAATGCGTCGTTCCGCGGCGAGGCGGGCTTCCTGGCGGCGCTCGACAAGGCGTGCCGCGATTTCGTCAACCGCAACAAGGCGACGGGCGCGTCGACGAGCAAGTCGCCCGAGCTGCTGGCCAAGCACGCCGACGCGCTGCTCAAGAAGAGCAACCGCACCACGGCCGAGGCGTCGCTCGAGGACGCGCTGAGCGACGTCATGGTGGTGTTCAAGTACATCGAGGACAAGGACGTCTTCCAGAAGTTCTACAGCAAGATGCTCGCCAAGCGCCTCGTCAACTTTGCCTCGGCCTCGGACGACGCCGAGGCCAACATGATCTCGCGCCTCAAGGAGGCCTGCGGGTACGAGTACACGACCAAGCTCCAGCGCATGTTTACCGACATGGGCCTCAGCAAGGAGCTCAACGACAGCTTCCGCGAGGCCATGGCCAAGACGCACGACAAGGCCGAGCTCGACGTCGACTTTTACGCCCTCGTCCTCGCCAACGGCTTCTGGCCGCTGCAGGCGCCCACGACGGATTTCAGCATCCCGACCGAGCTGCTGCCCACCTACGAGCGCTTCCAGCGCTACTATGCCGCCAAGCACAGCGGCCGCAAGCTCACCTGGCTCTGGCAGCTGTCCAAGAACGAGGTCAAGGCCAACTACCTCGCCCAAAAGTACCAGTTCGGCACCAGCACCTTTCAGACGGCCGTCCTGCTCCAGTTCAACCAGACCGACGCCCTCACCGCCGACGAGCTCCGCACCGCCACGGGCCTCAACGACGCCACCCTCAAGCCCGTCCTGGCCATGCTCGCCAAGGCCAAGGTGCTCCTCCACGAGGCCGACAGCGACACCTACACGCTCAACACGTCGTTCAAGAGCAAAAAGATCCGCGTCAACCTCAACCTGCCCGTCAAGGCCGAGCAAAAGGCCGAATCGACAGAGGTCATGAAGACGGTCGACGAGGACCGCAGGCTCCTCCTCCAGGCCACCATTGTGCGCATCATGAAGGCACGCAAGCAGCTCCGACACGCAAACCTCATCCAGGAGGTCGTCGCGCAGGTGTCCGCACGATTCCAGCCAAAGGTCCCCGACGTCAAGAAGGTGAGTGCAGACATGCAGCGGCAGTGGCAGTGCCGGGCGGCGAGCGAGCGAGCGAGCGAGCGCCCTGACACGCGCGCCATTCCTGCTCCCCAACCCCTCCTCCTCCCCCCCCGCAGGCCATCGACCAGCTCATCGACAAAGAGTACCTCGAACGCGTCGAGGGACAGAAGGACATGTACTCGTACCTCGCGTGATCCGCGCACCCAGTCATGCAGCCATGTTTCTGCCAATTGCAGGCGCTCGAGATATGGCTTCCCACATTGCGGGTGGAGAGGCGCCTGCAAAGTCGGTGCGTTGCGTCTGACATGCTGGGCGGACGGTGGCAAGCCGCCCGGCCCGCACCCGTCCTAAGCACGGGCGAGAGCCCTCCAGCGACGATGCGTCTTTATCGTCCCCCCTGTCGTATTCTGCACTTCTGCCGCACTGATGCTTTGCGGAACATCATCGTTCGGTGTGCACGAACAGCGGCCAGCATCGGACGTGGCGTGGCGTGGCGTGGCGTGGCGTGGAGCTCTGGCATGCGTACCAAATCAAGATGGGGAGGGGGGGACATGTATTTGTTCACCGCTTCGGTCGCTCGCTCGCATCTGGTCGGTCTGTCCTGTCCATCTTGGCACTGTGATCTACTTTCAATTGATCCAGTCGTCATGTCTCTCTGCCTCTGTGTTCCTTGAACATCTGGACAGCGCGATGCTCTCCTTGACTTGCTACACTTCATCAGTTCCACACCGACTGCCTGCCTGCTTGCAATACAAGGACCCCTGACCAGCAATACAAGGACCCCTGACCAGCCCCCCCCCCCCCCCCCCCCCCTTCCGGCTTCGCCGACAAGAAAAGAAAAGAAAAAAACAAAAAAAAATTAAAGAAAAGCTCTCCACTTTCTTTTCCGAGGGCAAAAGATTGGAGCGTCAGGGGATTGAACCCTGGACCTTTGCCTATCTGGGTGACTGAACACCCTTGTGCCGCATCAGAAGATGTGTTGCGAAGGCAACGCTATACCACTTAGCTAACGCCCCTGAGGAAATCGACCCCTTTTGATAGTGGAGTTGTATCACAAAACTATAATCAATTCGACATCTATGGCCATCCTGGCAAGGCAAGACGAGCCGGCTTCGGCCTGGATCTGTCCCTGTCATGCCCTCGGGGTCTTGCACTTTGGCCCGGATCTGTCCTTGTTATGCCCTCGGAACCTTGGGACTTACCGTCGGCCGAGGCCGTGGTGTGGACCAAGAGAGGTTGTGGGAGAGGTAGAGTGGCGGGACTCGGTATTCCGTCCAGGCGGAGCCGGGCAGCCAGGTTTCGTATGGCCGTCGGCTGCGGAGGTGGGGCTGCCTTCTTGCGAGGAGTTGGCCGGGCCTGCTTCGATCGACGCTGCGGTTGCGATGGCGATGGCACTTGTGGTCCTTGATTCGCTAGACCCAACTTGGTGTCGATCCTAGTGGGCGTGCACGAGGGGGTCCGGATCCGTGCTGGCCTTGCGATGCCGCACGGCCGAGTGGAGAGTGTGGAAGGCAAGCAAGCCATGGTCGCTGAGGAGGTGGCCGACGTTGGCGTGCGGGATGTGACGCGCGGAGAAGATGGCCAGGTCGCCGTCCCTGGCCTTGATGTGAATGCGAGACGCATGCCTCGCGGTTCTAGTCGTTGGCTGCGACGAAGCACAGGACGAGGACGCCGCCGCAGCGTTTCTGACGTGGGCCTGGTCGCTCGACGCAGCGCCAATCGTCAGCGGCGAACAGTTGGTGCGGCTGACTGCATTGCGAGGGCTTGACGATCCTCGTGTCGCGCCTCGCAGCGAGCGCGGTCGCTCGAGGCTCGGAGCTCGCGGTCGAAGCTCTCTTCGCCGCCTGCCACCGCGGCCACGAGCCGGTCGGCGCCGTGGTAGATGCGAGTGATGCGGCCTACATCCGGTGGAGCAACGAGGGCTGGTCGGATTTGGGCAATGGCGGTGGCGGTGACGAAGATGGTGGCGGTGACGAAGATGGTGGCGATGATGGTGGTGATAAGATGGCGGCTGCTAGGTTTGGCCAGCTCGTCGGGGCTGGGCCTGGGTGCCGGCTGGGCTGCGTGCGCAGAGGGCCGGCGAGCCAGGCCAGCGGCAGAAAGGGTTGGCCGCGCCCAATGGCGCCCGGCCTGGGGCCGGGGCCAGGGCCGAGCAGCACCACGGGCGCGCTCGGGCAAAAACGCGGCCCAATTCGCATGCGAGGCCTCCTTCCTCCTTCCCCTTGACCACCACCACCACCACCATCCCGCGTCCTTCTTTGACTCGCCAACCCCTCCTTTGCGGTTCCGGTTGGGGACCGCCCTTCGTCATTGCCCGCCTAGAGTGCTACTCGGCTGCCATCGCTAGAACCACACAAACTCCCCGCCATGGATGCCTCGGAGCGCACCACCAAGCGGCGCCGCACGTCGAGCGCCGCCAGCCAGCAACGCGACGCCGCAGCAGCGGCGGCTGCCGCGGCCACGCTGGCAGACGGCAGGACGTCGATGGCCGCAGCCTCGCCGCCTCCGCCGCCCNCCGTCCGTNCGGCGACGACTACCGCTC